AGATACTCATGGTTATAAGTCTAGGAATCCTTTAGACCTTATTCCAATATCCCCACATGCTAATGTGTTTATGTCAACTGAGACATTTGTACATCATCTTTATGACTTGCATATTGAGATCATTAAATAATTTGGAGTAAGTAATGCAGTATATAAACTTCAAGTTGATTTGCATAAGTGAAATTTTGAATTTAATATTGGGGATTATGTTATATTGTAAGCCTGTAGTGCTGGTCCTTATGAAATTTTAAAGCATGTTGATTTAAATACATGTGTCATTGATCTTTTATTACATTTTGGCCACCGTTCTATTTTAATTGTTAAGGATTGCATTGCTTACAAAGGTTATTTTAACCCCGCTGATGATAATTTTTTACATCCACATGAGAATTCCTACACCGATTCTTTTGCTATAACCACTCCAATACCACTTATCACAGCACACAAAGATAAGATTGATGTTATTTTAGATGATCAGGTTGTGTTGACCAATCCTCAAACCACTCTTGCACAGGGGTTGTTGGCTGAGATCAGCTCAGAGCGACATGGTGTCAAGCATATGCTGATTGATCATTTTAAGAAGGACCATGGAATGAAAGTTGGATCTACCATGAGATTTGCTATTGAGGACTTGGTTTTTAAGCTCTTTGGAGAGGGACCTTCTGTGAGTAAGACTCCTACGCATACACCTTCACCTAGTCCTTCTATCACAGCTCCTACACACAATAAGGTGAAAGAACATATACAGAGAGACATGGATGGCATGGGCCTTGGAAACTGCATGCAAAATGCAGAGGACGATGTCCCTACAGCAAGCAGGTCAATCTCCCACGATTCAGATGTCGTAGCACAGAATACCATGAGATCAGACGCACCTACGACTAGTACAATGAGATCAGATGCACCCGCTTTTCTCCCGACATTCAGTGCACCACCATCTGAACAGTACTTATCACCGAAGCAGGCTCCTACACGCAGGCGAGACCCCTCTCCAACGAGCGAGCCAGACATCGCAGACTACAATGATCCGAAAATGTTTCAAACCAGACGCATGACTCGATCAATGTCTATGTACTACCACCCGAAGATTTACCCTCGGGAATACCCTTGAGTACCTTTCATTAGTTTTTATTCGTGTCTTGTTGACTATGATTGCATTTTATCTTCAAATATTTGTTACAATTTACATTTGTTGGAGGTCAGGTCCATGCCCCCCTCCTCTATTTGTTTTCCCGCTTTTCATTATATAAAATAAACCACACTAGTGGTATTTGCTTAAAAAAAAATCCAAATTCGTTGGAATTTTATAGGAGCCAGTAAGACCTTCCTTTGCGTAGTTCATCTTGGTCAGATTATATTCTTGAAAATAAGCTGCAGTTTTCATTACTATCAATCATGAATTTACCAAATCAACGGCAATAATTGGGATTTACCAACTCAACGGGGTCGAGTTTTTCTCCCACCTTGGGAGGGCCCCTTCTCTTTAGGGTTTTGTTTTATTATTTAAACCTAATTTGTCATGTAATTGAGATAATTTGATGATTAGGATGAATTGAGATTGGTTGTGGCATCTCCTTCTTCTCCCTTTTTGCTTCTTCTTCGATTTCTCCCTTCTCTTCTCTATGTTTCTCCATCTCTTTCTTGCTGTTTTCTTATTTATCCTGCATCACTTACACTTTGTTTTTCTAGACGTATAACAATATTTAAATTAAACAAATATCTATATTTAAATGAAAAATTTGTACAATCTAAAAGATGGAACTGCTAAATAAAATATCACTTACAACTCGAGAAATTTTAGCTGCATCTAAGTAGAAAATAGATGCCTAAATAAACAACACGTCATTCTTGTAGATCCAATTTGAATGCCAGGAAAAAGTAGCAGTTAAAAACAACGCCAACTGGCTAAAGCAAAAGGATTAGAACAAAATGAACACAATCTCTTCACTAAACCATATAAAATCTCTGATATGTAGAAGAAAAGCAATACAGTATCAACTTCTTCAGCTCCCACAGATTAAAATATTATCATGTGCTTGGCCACATGACCACACATTGAAATTGGGGGTACTTTTAAGTTTGGCCATGTCAAACAACCAATTTTTCACTTTAACTAAAAAAATTTAACATTCACCACAAAGGCCTATTCTTGTGCAAAAGACAAAAATACCCTTAAATGAGTCATACAATTGCAAAAATAGAAATCTGTTAAAAAGATCAAAATATCCTTAAGTTACAAATTAAAATCTAAACACCTCTCAATTGAGATTTGAAAACGAAGTCACTTATTTCATCAGTTTACTCTAACACAATAAAAACTCTTTTATTTTTCATTCACTTCAACCTCAAAATTTCATAAACTTATCAGTTATCAACCTCAACAAAAATATTTCGTTAAATTTCAGCACTTTAATTTGAAAAGTATCTTTTCTTAGTATTTAATTTTGTTTTTATTGAAGTCGTATATTTTTTTTAAATGGCGGAGAAAATAATATTAGAACCAAAGTGAAGGTCGGCACCGATCTGACGCTGGACGACACGAATTATGGTCAGTTACAGACCATAAGGTCCGCAACGAACCACGACCACAACATGGTCCGTTGCGGACCATGTCGTGGTCCGGACCCGGACCATTTGGCTCAGACCCGATTTTTTTTAAAATTTTCTAAATTTATTTTAATTTTTATGTTAAAAAATGTAATTAAATATGAAATAAATAATATATATATATATTAAGATAATTAATGAAATATTTAAAGATAAATTAAATAGAATTTTAATTTTTTTTCTTTTTTACTTAAATATATGTTTAGTAATTAAATATACGTTTCAAATAAGTAATCGAAATAGAGTAATTAAATATGAAATAAATAATATACATTTTAAAATAATTAATTATGGAAACAATTAATATAATTAATTGAAAAAAGATTTAAATGAAAAATCGAATAAATATTATTTGATCATGGTTCCTCCTCCCTCCCCCCGGGTAATCTGAACAATATTTTGCTGTTTTAGCGGCATTAAATTTCAAATCACCTGAAAATATTGTGATTTTCATTCAAATTTTTCTTATTGCATACAAAAATGTTGAATTTCGTTTTAATTGTACTGATTCTTTTTTTGTCACTAATTGTGTTCTATAGGGTAAAAAACTATGGAACACTTCCAGAACAATGACCTTGAGTACGTTTTTGATGATTACTATGATGTTGCTGATAATTGTTTAATTCGGAATGCAGATATGACAAAAGCATGTGTCCCAATCTGTTACTTCGGCGAATTTCAAATGAAAGAAAATGGTCAATAGAAATGAAAATGGACGAGTGAAGAAGAAGGGGTTGCTGCTATTTGGATAACAAAAAATACATCGTTTACGAAAATGTACGATGAAATACAAAACATGCTTAACGTCAATTCCTCTCAGTACGATATGGAATTGGGGTTTTTATTTCAAAAGCATTCAACAATTTCGATTCTACCTTTGAAAGTTACTTCTGAAGTGCAAATAAAGCACGTAATTCAATTGAACCAAAGTCGAAAGACAACTCCTATTTGCGTAACTTTGTTGAAGAAAAATGTCCCCGATGGTGAACACGAAATTTTCGATGGAGAGGATCGTAACGAGAATGATTTTTGGGATACTGTTGAGATTGCTCATGAGGATGATGTGGTTATTCCCAGGACAGTTGCTACTCGCTATGATGTCATCGTTACACAAAGGATTTACGAGGAAGTTCAAGACGAGGATGAAAGGTCATTTACAAATCAGGATTTGATTGCTTTATCCAAACAGAGACATGAGTTTGGTGGGAGTTCACATGCTGGGCCGAGTAAACGATCTTCTAATTGTTCGTGTGTAGTTCCTGATGATGAAGATTTACATGTCGATCAATTGTTTGACACGAAAAGAGATTTGCAAGAAGCTGTGCACCGAATTGCAATGAAACATAATTTTGAGTTTAAGGTAAAAAAATCAAACAAGTCTACATACACAGTTATTTGTGTGGACAACAATTGCAGTTGACGTTTGAGAGCGACAAAGATGGACACAAATGAGTTCTTGTAGTTCGCAAGTATGCGCGGGAACATACTTGTAAAGTGGGTATTCGTCAAAATGATCACAGGCAAGCTCGATCATAGTTTATTGGTTGACAGATAATGCACAAGTTTCAGGACCCACGGACGATTTACAAACCTACAAATATCATCAACGACATTCGTCGGAAGTATGGAGTGGTTATGAATTACCAGAAGGCCTGAAAGGCAAAAGAATGTGCATTGGAAGATTTAATGGGTTCGACAGAGGAGAGTTATGCCAAATTGGTCAGGTATTGCCACAACATGGTGAGAACTAATTCTGACTATTGAAACTGATGGGCAGAATCGCTTCAAGTATTTTTTTTATAGCTCTTGGACAATGCATTAGAGGTTTTCGAAATGCGATGCGACCTCTAATTCTAGTTGATGGTACAGCCCTAAAAGCTAGATATGAAGAGAAGTTGATTATTGCTACATATCAAGATACCAACATCCAAATTTACCCTCTTGCATTTGGCATTGTCGATGGAGAGACTGATCTAGCAATGCGTTAGTTCTTTACAAAGTTGAGAGAAGTAATTGGGGACATTAAGAACCTTGCATTTGTGACTAACCGGGGGCAATCAATAATAAATGGTATAGCCGAAGTTTTTTCGGAAGCACATCATGGTTATTGCATGTACCACATTCAGGACAACCTGAAGACTAGACACCCGGGCAGTGGCATCGTTGCATTGTTTATGAGAGCTGCAGAAGCTTACAGCTTTGAAGAGCTTACGAAGTTCATGGGAGAAATAGAACATAAATCAGAAAGTGCATGGGAAAATCTATTAAATATGGGGGCCGAACATTGGGCACGGTCACATTTTCCAGGATGTCGATGCAACATGATGACGTTGAATAATGCGAAGTCGTTCAATGCATAATTTAAGAAGGATTGAGAGTTACCAATTCTCGCAATGATTGAACATATTCGTAGTAAGTTGCAACAGTGGTTTTATGACCGACGTGAGGAATCCCAGAATTGCACGAGTGTGCTAGATCCGGCACAGGCAGATCGACTATTCAAAACTTTGGAAGTGACAAAAGCTCTATTTGTGGAACCACTAGATCAATTTCGCTTCTCCGTGAGATGCGGGCATAATGTTGGATACATTGTAGACTTGAATGAAAATACCTGCACGTGTAGACAATTTCAGTTGGAGAGTTTTCCATGTGCGCATGCTGTCGCAGTGGCTATGTATAGAGGATTTCCACCACACAGCTTATGCAGTCATTATTACATGGCTGATTTTTGGAAAGTTCCTGATTATATTATAGCACTTAATAATTTGTTGCCACCTGAAGTTTCACCGCGTACTCCTAATCGAAGACGGATGTCTAGAATACCATCTATAAGAGAGTTTTCACAACCGCGTAAGTGCGGGAGGTGCGGCGCTACAGGACATACACGTCGATTTTGTAAAAGTCAGATCCCACTAAACAATGACTCGACGGATGTGTAGTATCTATATAAATCATATGTATTCTCTATTTGTAATATGTTTTTGATTTTCTCAATTTAAATCGGATGTAATCTTTATCACATTGTTTAATTAGTCTTTTTAACAGCATATTTGAATAAAAAAATAGGATTGATTTAAATATTGCGATTTAATAATTGATATAATGCAGTAGTTAAATATTTAATTGGTTATGTATAATTGGTTAAATTTTTCTTTAATTAATTATATTAATTGGTGAAGTAAAAAATTAATTATTTCATATTTAATTACTTATTTCGATTATTTATTTGACTAAAAATAATAGCACTTATTTCGAATTTTCATTTAGGTATTTCTTTCACTAATTATCTTCATTTGGCACGTATATTTGATTATTTATATCCCTTTAGAAATTATATTTTGTTAATTATCTTAATATGTATATTGTTTATTTAATATTTGATTGCTATATTTCGATTACTTATATAAACTAAAGTAGTAATTTTTTTTCTTTTAATACAAGTGAGACAACGATATATATTAACTGACAATATGGAGAGATTACAGACACAACAACAATGTAAATTAAAATAATAATATTTTGTTAATTATCTTAGTACGTATATTAATTATTTCATATTTAATTACTTATTTCGATTATTTATTTGAATAAAAATAATAGTACTTAGTATGTACCCTCCTGAATACGTGGAGAGTATCGATGTAACATCTCCGACCCCATGAAAAGCTGTTGAAAGTATCGATATCATCAACAACATCTAATGAAAAAGGTCAATCGACGTCCTACGATGTCGACACCTCAATATACTCTCTAGTATATACACCAATCCTAACTTCAACTTGTCTAACATGTGATCACATCTCCTAAATGCGTCCTCTAACTGTGGTGGTGTAGTCGGCCCTTTATCTCCAAAATATAAATCCAATAACCTTTTATTTGGTATAATACGGGCTCTCGCTTCTTCTTCTTCAGTACATCTTAAGCCTGTAATGTGGACAAATTCAAGGATCGAGAATCTCGATACCTTCCCGTCCCCCATAGCAAAATAAAGCTGAATGCCATACTGGTTTAAGCAGCCGGAGTAATAAAGAATCAATAATCTGTCCGGAGAACTGCACGTCCTTCAATGGATAGAAGGACCATAAAAACGATCGATGGAGTATGTCGATGTGCTCCTCATCTAGCCCTTCAATCACTGTCGCATAGTTGGAAAAGTTACAATATGTCTTAATTTTTCCCAAATTAGCTCTCAGATCGTTGTCCATATGATATTACATCCTACAAAAATAATACATGTTAAAACCATATACAAGAGATTATAAATAAAATATCGTATCTTCAAATTTAATCAATCAGATTTCATATTAATAAAGCAATAAATAGATTCATCCAATCACATACTAAAATAGTTAAACAAAAAAATTCTCACATATTTGATTATTTAATATTTCTTTAAAAATTATATTTTGTTAATTATCTGAATATATATATATATATATATTATTTATTTCATATTTAATTATTCAATTTCGATTATTTATTTGAATAAAAATAATAATATTTAATTCAATTTTTCATTTTACTATTTCTTTAATTATTTATCTTAATTGGTTAAGCAATAAAATTATTATTCAATTTAATTTATTCTTTAAATATTTCATTAATTACGTATATTATTCATTTCATATTTAATTATTCTATTTCGATTATTTATTTGAATAATAATAATAATATTTAATTCAATTTTTCATTTAACTATTTCTTTAATTAATTATTTTAATTGGTTAAGCAAGAAAATTATTATTCAATTTGTTAAGTAAGAAAATTATTATTCAATTTAATTTATTCTTTAAATATTTCGTTAATTATGTATATTATTCATTTCATATTTAATTATTCTATTTCGATTATTTATTTAAATAAAAATAATAATATTTAATTCGATTTTTCATTTAACTATTTCTTTAATTAATTATCCTAATTGGTTAAGTAAGAAAATTATTATTCAATTTCATTTATTCTTTAAATATTTCGTTAATTATGTATATTAGTCATTTCATATTTAATTACCCTATTTCGATTATTTATTTGAATAAAAATAAAAATATTTAATTTGATTTTTCATTTTACTATTTCTTTAATTAATTATCCTAATTGGTTAAGTAAGAAAATTATTATTCAATTTCATTTATTCTTTAAATATTTCGTTAATTATATATATTATTCATTTCATATTTAATTACCCTATTTCGATTATTTATTTGAATTAAAATAATAATATTTAATTCGATTTTTTATTTTACTATTTCTTTAATTAATTATCTTAATTGCTTAAGTAAGAAAATTATTATTCAATTTAATTTATTCTTTAAATATTTCGTTAATTACGTATATTATTTATTTCATATTTAATTATTCTATTTCGATTATTTATTTGAATAAAAATAATAATATTTAATTTGATTTTTCATTTAACTATTTCTTTAATTAATTATTTTAATTGGCTAAGTAAGAAAATTATTATTCAATTTAATTTATTCTTCAAATATTTCGTTAATTACGTATATTATTCATTTCATATTTAATTATTCTATTTCGATTATTTATTTGAATAAAAATAATAATATTTAATTCAATTTTTATTTAACTATTTTTTTAATTAATTATTTTAATTAGCTAAGTAAAAAAATTATTACTCAATTTAATTTATTCTTCAAATATTTCGTTAATTACGTATATTATTCATTTCATATTTAATTATTATATTTCGATTATTTATTTGAATAAAAATAATAATATTTAATTCAATTTTTCATTTAACTATTTCTTTAATTAATTATCTTAATTGGTTAAGTAAGAAAATTATTATTCAATTTAATTTATTCTTTAAATATTTCGTTAATTACGTATATTATTCATTTCATATTTAATTACTCTATTTCAATTATTTATTTGAATAAAAATAATTATATTTAATTCGATTTTTCATTTTATTATTTCTTTAATTCATTATCTTAATTGGTTAAGTAAGAAAATTATTATTCAATTTAATTTATTCTTTAAATATTTTGTTATATGTATATTATTCATTTCATATTTAATTATTCTATTTCGATTATTTATTTAAATAAAAATAGTAATAATAATTCAATTTTTTATTTCACTATTTCTTTAATTAATTATCTTAATTGGTTAAGTAAAAAAATATTATTCAATTTAATTTATTCTTTAAATATTTCGTTAATTATGTATATTATTGATTTCATATTTAATTACTCTATTTCGATTATTTATTTGAATAAAAATATATGAATATTTTCATTTAAGTATTTATTTCATTAATTATATTAATTGTTTCCTTAATTAATTATTGTAATTGTCTTAAAATGTATATTATTTATTTCATATATTTAATTACTAAACTTATTTAATTACTAAACATATATTTATTATTAA